GAGTTGGAAATCTTGCCAAAACATGCTATATGCTCTAGGAGGTAAGAGAGGCAAAGAAGTCTTAAAGTGGACAAAACCAAACCTAGAACTTATGTACAAGAGGTTTATGTCTCTTGCATGTGAACCAAATTAAAAAGCCCATAGGGAGGAGAATCAGTAACACTCAAAATATTGAGGGGGGGGGGAAGTAAATCCTTTACAGTGTTCTTAGTTACAACCTTCAGAAGCTGTATCTGAAAGATCAGTTTATTGTCTTTGCTCAGGTTTATTTCTTCACGTCTTTGATCACAGTGATATTTCAAGTATTGCTTCTAAAAGAAAGCTACAGAAGATTGCAGGTTTTCCCTTACAGCTCCTGTTGCACCTTTAAAGGTGACCTCTGAATTCAGAAGGACTTATATGGAAGAATTTGTGCAGTTAACACAGTTTCTGAAAAATTTTCAGCAGAGATGCAGCTAGTGACATACAAAATATGAAAACATAACTACTCTTTTTTTTAAATGGAAATAACTTTCCTTATGAATTTCTTTTCTGAAAATACAGTGCTTTTTTGGAATGGGTTGGATGATCTCACTACATGTTGGTTCAGTATTATTTCAGTGCATTATTTTAGGGGGACAGATGAGAGGGAAGATGCTACTTTGATAGTATAATGCTAGTGCATTTTATAAATGTCACAATTTAAAGCTAAATATTTTTCTTTAAACCCTTTTCTAGCAATATAGGCAACCAGTTTCCAGGCCAAGGTGTTCCTTCTGGATTTTCTATGTATCCTGCGTTCAGTCCCTTACAGATGATATGGTGGCAACAGATGTATGTACGTCAGTACTACATGCAATAGTAAGTCTGCATTGCTCTAGAAACTGAAATGCCCTTTGCACAATAAAAATCTGTTTATTTTGTCTCTTTCTGCTGTTTTACACTGTTTTGTCCCACAAATTATGAAATCCAGTTTTGATTTAGAATGACATTAATGTATTGATAAGTAAAGATCTAAGGGAAAATGCAGTTTTTGACCGAACTGCGTTTTCATCTGTAACTTAGTTTTTATCAGTGTAAAAAGAAGACAAGAATAGGTTTAGAAATTACAGTGCATGTTTTGACAAACCAGTTTTATGTTTAAATCTCTAGCCAAGCTGCTGTTTCAGCCCAAGTGACTTCCAGCACTGAGCCAGCAAGATCTGCAGTTGCCCAGGCTGTAAATTCAGAACATGCTCCTGCAAATGAGCCTGCAGCAGTGCCAAATGTAGCCGTCCAGGAGAACAGGCCTGTAAACCCAAATGTCCAGATGAATGCACAGGGTGGCCCAGTAGTGAATGAAGAGGACTTCAACCGTGACTGGCTGGACTGGATGTACACGTTCTCTAGAGCAGCAATTCTTCTGAGCATCGTATACTTCTATTCTTCTTTCAGTCGATTTGTCATGGTAATGGGAGCCATGCTGCTCGTTTATTTGTGAGTACAACAGTTGGGTACAGCTGCAGAGCTGAGATGTGGAGTATGGTGCTAATGTATAATCCATTTAAAATGAAAAACTGTCCATATGCAAAAGTGTGTGCTTTACAGTGGAGTGTGTGTGTTAAAAAAAAAAAAATTCAAACAAGTAGAGAAACAGATATGAAGAAAGAAGTAATTCTCAAAATATTTCTACATTAAGTTGGATGCCACTTAAACCTGGAACACAGTGCTCCTAAATGTTGGTGGTATTAACAGATCCGTGTTGTAGAAATGTAGGATTTTGGGATGAATATTTACGAAGTGGGAGTGAGGGGAGGGAAGTCCGCATAGGTCAGGTGTATACTTGCATAAACTTACTGCTTTGGTAGGAAACTGCAGAGCAAAGCTCACATATATTTCAAAAATAGCTTATGGGATCTGTGCAGTAACCTCTGTTAGGTAGAGTTAAGGTAGTGGTACTGTAATGGTGGGCACTAGAGCTGGTAGGATTGCAGGGACTTCAAAATTTTTTTACAGCACATCATAAAGACCTAAGCACACTCTCTGTTTTGTTAAGAAATGTCAACACTGTTGTCATCACTTCCTTTTGTATATGAAAATACCTTAGTGATGTAAATAGAAGTGGAAAACAGCAGTAATGTCATTGAACTGATGTCATTCACTGAGAGTTTCCTTACATTGTGGTCTCAGTCCTCACAAGGACTGTTCTTTTTTTCATGCAGATATGATAGCTGAAATCAGAATATAGACACTTGAAAACATAAGAGAGCTTTACTTAATTTACAGTGGTAATGTGGTTCAAGCCTTGGCTGAAGTGTAAATTCTTTTTTCCACGAAAATCAATTTGAAAAATAAGGCATCTTTTTAAAATTCATATAACTTAAGTAGTTAAAAATGGGGAGGAGGCCCAAAAAAGGGTATTCTACATATTTAATCATGTAATCATGGTAAATTATTCATCTTCTGGAACTGAGGGCTGTGAGCAGCAACACCCTTCTTAACTCAGACATCAAAGAATAGCCCTTCGATCTAGATTTCAGAAAAATAGGTGTGACTTCTTTCTTTAGAAAGTACTTTGCAGAAGTTAGCTGTAGCAGAAAAGTTTTTTTGTTCCTTCCAAAAGAAAGGTTTTCAACTGTTCCGCTTTCTTACGTAGACACCAAGCTGGATGGTTTCCCTTTAGGCAAGAGGGAGGCCAGCAACAGGCAGCCAATAATGCGGAAGTGAACCGTGATGGGCAGCAGGCAAATAATCCTGACCTTGAAGAGATGGTGAGTAAGGGCAGACAATGTCTTTTGAGACTCCTGTGTATTTTATTGTAAAATACGCTGCAATGCCTGTACAGAAAGTCAGCTTTTAGGAAATGGAGTTGGTTTAACCAGAAATTTTTCAGCATTGCCCTCGGGTTGTGCCTGCTGCTTAAATACTCTGTTTTTCCAGTCTGACAATTATGGATCATCTCTACTTCAATCACAGACTTTCTTTTGTGCTAGATACTTGAGGAGTTTGTTCTGAGAGAAATTACTTAATGTAGGAAGACATTGCTGGTTACCTTATGTCAGAATTCTGAAAAGAAGCAGTTAAATGGCTTCAATTTCTGTTTCTAAAGGAGCGACTCATGGATGATGGGATTGATGAAGACAGCGGAGAAGATGCAGGTGAAGATGCCAATACAGAGCAGCAGCCTGGATTCATGGCTTCTGCTTGGTCCTTTATCACAACCTTCTTCACATCACTCATCCCTGAAGGGCCTCCACAGGTTGGCAATTAAAGTGGAAAAGGAACTGTGTCAGGCAGCCTCAGTAGCCATACATAGAAGTGGAGCAGATTCTAGAGTGTTCTAAATACAGTGCAATTTCTGAAAATTCATAATGGTTTTGATCACAGTGTACAAAAATGTGTATTTTTTTTCTTTCAGCTTTCTCATGCATTGAATATTTTAAGCACAAGTGGACTACTAAATGCTTTCTTTAGAATTCTTCTTTTTCTGAAGAATAAAATGTAAAGATATTGGTCTTCCATGTTTTATTTTAATTTCAAATGTGTGTTATACTGAGGCAAGGAGCTTGTACTTAATCTGCACCATTACCTCTTTAAAGAGCTGTTAAAACATGAATGTTGATGGACCTGTCCAAATGCTCTCTATTTATCTGAGTCATGTATCTTGTGTTAGTTTTATGCAGGGTATGAATTCTCACTTGGGATTTGGAACTTGTATCATTCTTGAGAGAATGCTGTAGACACAAGGGTTACTTGTAATGGCATGTTGTCTTCATGCCACAAAATACTAAGCCTCTTCATTTAAAAAGGTGAAAGCTTTTTCTTGAGACCATACTGAAGTTCATTGAAGTTGGGGATGTTTGACAGCTCTTCAAAGACTATTGACAGTGATGGGATAAACCTTAAACGTTTGATACATAGAGTACTTTTTAAGGAAAATATAGCTGCGCTGGGGTAAAACATGTACATTAGGATTTTTTAATAAAAACTGTTATGGTAACTCTTTTGGATGTTTATATGCATATTTGAATGCAAGCAGCTAAGCAGTGCATCATTAAGGATGAGAATATGATTGATTCGAGAGTGGAATAAAGTGATCATGGTGGCATTACTGACATTGACTAAAGTGATGTGTTTGTCACAGCGCCTACACAGTTACGGGTATGATACCAAGAGCAGATTATCTGTATTCGTAGACTTAATTAATTAAAACTGAGGAAAGGGAAATAGGCCATGAGATAGTAGCAGGGTGCGGTTTCAGATTTTGGGTTACTTTCTTTCGATTTTAATCATAGTCAAGAAGATACATTTGGTTTTGTTCCTAATTCTGAAGTTATTGTGTGCTGACTTAAAAATACCTGCAAAGGTGCTGTTATCCTACATCCAGAAGAAAGCCTGTCTAAGTTTCTCATTTCCTGGTACAGGGCAATGTTCCTTCTAAGCAATTGGGACATAGAGATTATTTATTTATTTATTTATTTATTAGTTGCTGAAGTCAAATTGCTGAAGGTATACAGCGAAGATTTAAAACGGGAAAGGTTTTATTTGGATTTATACTCTGAAACCTCTGTCAGGATTTCTAGGGCTTATTGAAAGTTGACTCAATTGGAAAAAATAAATTTGAACAGTGGTTTTAAACTGCTCAAGTTAAGTAGAATGCTTTTTTGAGTTACAAAATAATTCTTATTTACAGATTTGTCAGAGGAGAAATACAAATGTACATCTTATAAGCTTTAATTATTTGCTGTATAGGCAGGAATGATGAATAAGTCATGTTTAATGTTTTACTCCTCTTTTTACTATGGAAAGCTGCTCTCAGTTTAGGTTCTCTACATAAAACATGTAGACTTTATGAAATGTTACCTTTTTAGTTTGGTGGATGGCTCTAACTTGACTAATATTTAAGAGCTGTTACAAAAACTTTTTATTTTTAAAGGAATGTCACAGAGTGGCAGTCTTGGATGTCATAAGATTTATTTCTGGAAAGCATTGAAGAAATTTCATCTGTTTGGCCTGTGTTCTCCCTCCCACTTTTACCAGAAGTTCATTTTTCTTTTTGTCCCAGTGTTAATGTATCTGTAACCTGTGCAGTTACAACCTGCCAGTATCCAGCTATGAGCAGCTGTTTTTCTTGCTGTTGTTGTCGTCATTGTTCAGGTTTCTGTTTGTTTTCCATGCTCTAGGGAAGCAGTTGGTGGCTGCTCTCTGCTGTTGGACTAGATTAAGAAAGCTGCTTTTATGCTGTTAGCTCTGATTTGTTTGAAGTGTCACTTCTTGTTCCTCTTCAGACAGGGATAAATTTGTTGACAGGTTACACAGCATTGAAGTAGTGAAATGGGAGATCCTGGCAGTTAGTTAGGTGTTGAGGGAGGTGTTCTGAGAGTTTTAACCAGAACATATAGCTGGGACAATGAGTTGAAGAGACCAGACTTGTGTGACAACATCTTAAGGTCATTGCACCTCCCACCTTCCACAACCTACCAGGATAGGCGCAGGGAAAAGCAAAAATATGGTTACTGAGGAAAATGAGTGTGAAATAACAATGAGCTATGAAGTGTTACCAAAGAGGTGGAGGCGGAGGAAAACCACTGGAAGGAGCAAAGATAAGGTGTGATCGTAAACAAGTATGAAACAAGCATTGAAGGCCACATTGAGGTAAGAGGTGCACTTTTCAGAAAAGGAAAGAGTTTGATCAAAGTCAGTCGGATCAGGTCTTTGTTGTATGGGTTTCTGAGCAATTCAGGTGTAGACCTGAACAGCATATGAAATGTAACAGCTGATGATGGAAGAGAATGAAAACCATAGGAAAACAATTGCTTTTTCTTAGTTGTATCCTTGTTGTAGAAACTGTTCAATGGCATAAAACAAAACGCAGCTACATAGT